CAACAGATATATATTTTGTATATCTTAGAGTACCACGTTCATGTATTTATGCTAGTGGAAAGAAAACTTGTATTCACACAAAACCCTGTACAGGAATGTTTATAGCAGCTTTATTCTTGCTTGCCTAGAATGAAAATGACCCAGATATCCTTCAGCAGATGAATGGATAAACAGTGTGTAGTACGTCTGTTGCAGGAAAGCGGACCGCTTCCAGGGCCCGAAACTGGGCTCTTGTCTAACACTCGGGAATGAATTGTCCGAGGAGACACATGCTGACAAAGCAAGAGACTTTATTGGGAAAGGGCACCCGGGCGGAGAGCAGGAAGGTAAGGGAACTGCTCCTTCTCTAAAGGATCTTCCCAACCCAGGGATCGAACATGTGTCTCCTGCACCGCAGGCAGACACTTTACTGTCTGAGCCAGCAGGGAAGCCCTCAAGCTTCTTCTTCTTCTTTTTTTTTTTTTCTTGTTTTACTCACCAGTTTTACAGAAGCACATACTTAAGTAAATTCCTCAAAATGGCATATGGAAAGTATTCTCTTTACAGCATCGGAGTTTACCTCTATCACCAGTCACAGAACTGCTCCGCCGCGTGGCTCGCAGTCTTGGGTTTTATGGTGATGGGATTAGTTTCCGGGTGGTCTTTGGCCAATCATTCTAATTCAAAGTCTTTCCTGGTGGTGCACGCATCGCTCAGCCAAGATGGATGCTAGCGAGAGGGATTCTGGGAAGTGGACAGACACACAGTGTCTCCTTATGACCTTTCCCAAACTCTTCCGGTTGGTGGTGGCTTATTAGTTCTGTATTCCTTATCAGGATCTCCTGTCATAAAACAACTCATGCAAATAGTTACTATGGTGCCTGGCCAGGGTGGGCGGTTTCAATCAGTGTGCTTCCCCTAACACGTCCACAAAATGTAACATTACTCTTTTACAAACAGGAATTTTTTTTAACATATACTGAGTCTTTTAAAACATTATTTATTTTTGGCAGTGATGGATATTCATTGCTGCATGGGCTTTGGTTGTATCGAGCGGGGGCTATCCTCTGGTTGCAGGGTGCTGGCTTCTCCTTGTAGTGGTTTCTCTTGTTGTGGAGCATGGGCTGTCGGGCATGTAGGCTTCAGGAGTTGTGGCTCCTGGGCTCTAGAGCACAGTCTTAGTAGTTGTGGAACACGGGCTTAGTTCTTCCGTGGCATTTGGGATCAAACTTGTATCTCCTGCATTGGCAGGTGGATTCTTTATCACTGAGCCACCAGAGAAACCCCTGAGCAATGATGTTATATTTCACACAACGTGGATGAATCCTTAATGGATTTTGCTAAGTGAAAGAAATCAAAACTAAAAGAATATATTTTACTTCTTTCAATTTAAATGACAGTTTGGAAGAGGCAGTGCTATGGCATCAGAAAACAGATGTGTGGCTGCCTGGGGTTGGAGGTGTGGAAGGGGTTAACAGTAACAAATTTTAGGGGCAATTTAATTGTTCTATATGACACTTTGTTGGTGGATATTATGCATTTATTAAGAACCATAGAACTGTACACCATAAAGAGTGAATTTTATTCCAAAATTTAAAAATCAACCAGGATTTTGATGAAAGCACATATTGAATGTAGACCGTAACAAATGAATCTACCTCTATTATAAATAAATGGCATATTTACACGTAAAGAGGTGGGACAGAAAGGAGCCTGTTCCCTCACTGGCTGCACTGATTGACTCAGGTGTGAGAACTCTCTGACTGGATGAGACTCTTAAGTCTCCTTCTGGATGGAAAGAGGTACATATGTGAAGCCTGGGGTCCCCAGGAGGATAGTTAGCCTGAGAAGAGATATATTTGAATGGGGATGGACTTGAGGGTCCCACACTCCCTGTTCCAAGGTCTTGATCAAATGTGTCTTGCACCTACCCTACTTACACTCTCTTTAGGTAAATAATTATTTAATTCTCCTTTTTTCTTCAAACATATTTTACTGATAGTAGTCCAAAATCATCCTATCAGAAATACTTTCCATATGCCATTCTGAGGAATTTACTTAAGTATGTGCTTCTGTAAAACTGGTGAATAAAACAAGAAAAAAAAAAAGAAGAAGCTTGAGGGCTTCCCTGCTGGCTCAGACAGTAAAGTGTCTGCCTGCAGTGCAGGAGACCATGTTCGATCCCTGTGTTGGGAAGATCCTTTAGAGAAGGAAATGGCAATCCACTCCAGTACTCTTGCCTGGAAAACCCCATGGACAGAGAAGCCTGGTAGGCTACAGTCCATGGGGTTGCAAAGAGTTTGACACGACTGAGTGATTTCAATTTCACTTTCACTTTGAGGTTCAGAGAAGTGTGCAGCCCAAGAGCGCATGACAGAAAGTCCTGTGGTCACAGCTTTGTAGCAGGCATGGAAAGCAGCCAGTCTAGGAGAAAGAGGGAGCCATCCAGGCAAAGTAGAATGTCATGGGTTAGATATACCTTGGGGTTTCAGAATGGTTATGGATTAGGTATACCTTAGGGTTTCAGAATGGTTAAAACATATAAAGACAGGATTGTATTTATTAGGAGACAAACATTTTGCAGAAGATACTTAAAAACTTCATAGGTTTGCATTGGCAAAGACCTTCACCTAATCCAGCCCCAAGCAAGGGGATATACTTTCTAAACAGAAGTCTACCTCCTTTGAGTTTATGAGCACTTGAAGACCCTGAAACACCTAGCTTCACCCTTCAAGTGGAAAAAGCACTGTTTTGTCATCAGTCAACATTTGGCTGCAGCCCATGAGAAAAGACTGTCACCCTGGGCCCAAGGTATCATCCTTCCCCAATGACAGGACCCTACACCGCCAGATCTCAGGCTGCTCCAGGAGCCAGGAGAAAGAGGAAGGAGCTTACTCACAATCAAGTGTGTTCACATCCTGAACTGGAAGTTATGAGGTGAACTGAGGGGGTTACAGGGATGCTATGGATTGTCTGTGTTGGGCAGATTGGGTCTTGGGATAGAAAATTAATTTGAATTAAATAGATAAAACTACAGGTTTGTACACCAGGATTTTCTGTGACTGTAAGATTCATATGGACTACATCTGTAATAGATGCAAACTAATTTTCTAACAAGAAAAGCAAGAAAGATCATTAAAAGAGGACGGCTTGGAGGATGCAGATGAGGTAGAGCTGGAAACCGGGGGTGATCATCTTTCACAGACAAAGGTGGAGAGCAGCACATGCCTTTGAAAAGTGTGTGATGGGAAGCACTACATGCACCTGATCAGTCACAGAAATTTCCTTGGCCATCAGCTGTAACTTTGACTTTACAACACACATTTCCATAGCAAAATTAATTTTGTAGCTTCCTCTGTGGTGTGAGGATTGCTTGCTGTGCTAGATGTTTGTCAAATGGCAGTCTCCACTCATATTGGAATTGATGGCATTAGAGGCTTTGTTTTGCTGAGAAATTCAATTTGCGAGCCATTTACTCCAAAGATGTTTTTCTTAGCTAGAGAAAGAAGAGTTTCTTATTCCTGAGAATATTAAGAAAGTTTCAGGGTCAGGAAAAAAAGTCAAATGAGGCAGGACAGAACTGTACTATTGAAGAGAATTCTGGACCATCCTCTGAGGCTCTTTCTTTCCCTAATCACTATTGTTTGACATTGCTAAGGGCCTTCCCAGGTGACACCGTGGTAAAGAACCTGCCTATCAATGCAGGAGATGCAAGAGACTCGGGTTCCATCCTTGAGTCAGAAGATCCCCCGGAGGAGGAAAGGGCAACCCACTCCAGTGTTCTTGCCTGGAGAATCCCATGGATTGCTAAGGACTCCATCAGCACTGAGAAGGATAAACAGCAGCAGGGCTGCTAACATACTTGCTTTAGACTACATTTATTTATTTATTTATTTATTTTGTTATATAATGGATATCCTCTAATTGTTCGAATTTTGTTTAAAAGAGGTGAGTTTTCAAAATTTCTGAAAGACATTTTCTAGTAATAGATTTGTTTTTTTCAGTTTATCTATAATTTATAGTTGGGTATGTGTGTTAGTCACACAGTTATATCTGACTCTTTGTGATCCCACGGACTGTAGCTCTCCAGGCTCCTCCATCCATGGGATTTTTCAGGCAAGAATACTAGAGTGGTTGCCATTTCCTTCTCCAGGAATCTTCCCAACTCAGGGGTTGAACCCAGGTCTCACACATTGCAGGCAGATTCTTTACTGTCTTCCTTATTATTAAATAGTATATGCTTTTGGAAGCTACAGAGAACTAAAAAATTAGCTCACTATTGCAGCACTCAGGATTACTTATTATTTAAGTTTTGGTCTATTTACAAAAGCAAACACATGTAAAATTTTGTATTATGGTGTCACTTACGGTCATGTGATAATTTTCTTTGGTCATTAAAGGTTATTCACATAGGTGTTTATGCCTGCTTACTATTCTTTCTTTGTAGGGCTGTTACTGTATTTTATTTAACAATTTCTATACTGTTAGATACTTAGACTATTTCCAGTATTTTGCTAGTAAAAGTATTTAGATCAATATACTTGTCAAGCTAGTCTTTATTTTAACCAGAAGTCAGCTGAGGCTCTTTCCTAAGGACAGATTCCCGTATCTGTAATTACTGATTCAGAGTGCATGAAATTTCTTGAGTGTCAAGTACACGTATGAAAATTACTAACATTTATCACTGAAATGCTTTAGAAGACTCATGTTACACAATGCTTGACAATATTTTTTTTCAAGTTTTTTCCAAAATAGCTGATTATTTTAATTTATATTTGCATCAAAATGTATGTATAACATTCTTTGTCATGTTCAGTTTTTAAAACTTTTGGATACCTTTATTACTCATTTAGTTTGTGATTTCTATTTTTTTTTCTCCTAGAGATCTTTTTCCACTTCAAAACTCAAGTAATAGTTAACAATTTTTCTTCTAAAATGTTTATAGCTTAACTTTTTAAAATAAACTTTTGTTTGAGATAAATTTGCATTCACATGTGTCTGTAAGAATGCAGAGAAATCTCATGTACCCTTTACCCACTTGCCCTCATAGGTAATACGTTGAAAAATTATACTGAAGTATCACAAACAGGATGGTGATGCTTGACATGGTCAGACACAACATTTGCTTCACCACAGGCTCCCTCACGTTTCCCACTTGAACTCATGTGTCCCATGGCCAATCTCCCACCCACCTCTCCTTAAACTCTGGAAAGCATCAATCCATTCTATCATCTTATCATTTCAACAATGTTATATAAATGGAGTAATCCAGTGGTGTTCTTTCAGGATGAGCTTTCTTCATCCAGTATATTACTCCAGAGTTTCATCAGACAGAGTGTATCAATAGTTTTCTGCTTTTCCATGGCTGAGCAGTACTCCATGACATGGATTAACAAAATTATTTGAAGTTATTTGAAAACATTCATGAATCATTTATTTAAGGGCACCTGTACCATTCCATATAGGCTCCCATGAACAAAGCTCTTCCCTGATAACAAGGTCTTCCCTGATAGCTCAGTTGGTAAAGAACCTGCCTAGAATCCAAGAGACCCCAGTTCGATCCCTGGGTTGGGAAGATCCCCTAGATAAGGGAAAGGCTACCCACTCCAGTATTCTGGCCTGGAGAATTCCATGGACTGTATAGTCCATGGGGTGGCAAAGAGTCAGACATGACTGAGTGACTTTTACTTTCATCTGGACCATTCCATATAAGCTCCCATGAACAAAGCTGCTACATACTATTGTGCACAGACCCTTGTGTGAACATAAATTTTGATTTCTGTGAGATAAATTCCAGGAATACAATTGCCATGTTGGGGCTTCCCAGGTGGCTCAGGTAAAGAATCTCCCTGCCAATGCAGGAGACACAGGAGATTCTGGTTCAGTCCTTGAATTGGGATGATCACCTGGAGTAAGAAATGGCAACCTGCTCCAGTATTCTTGCTTGGAAGATTCCATAGATAGAGGAGCCTGGTGAGCTACAGTCCATGGGGTTGCAAAGAGTTAGACATGACTAAGCATAGCACATAGTACATAGCACATAGTACTTGCATGCTTAGATTTTCTCATGTGTTTCCTAGCGTGACCACATTTTGATCATAAATTAGTAAATGATCAATTTTCTCTGCATCCATGCCAGTGTTTGATATTATTAGACTTTTAAACTTCATAAGAGACTCCACGGCCCCTGCAGTGGAAGTGTTGACTCTTAACCACTGGACTGCTGGGGAAGATCCTCCTGATTTTTTTTTTTTAACTTCAGAGTTTCTAATTGTTCAACATCATCATAATATGGTTTTAATTTGCATTTCTCTAATGGTTAACTTCGTTGCACACCTCTTCATATAGCTCTATATCCTATCTGTCTGTATATCCTATTTGCTGAAGTGACTATCTTTTGCTCAGTTTTAATTGAGTTGTTTGATTTCTTACAGAAGAATTTTGAGAGTTCTCTATGTATTCCGGATTGAAGTCCTTTCTGTCTGTGTCACTGACAAATATTTTTTGCAAATATGTAACTTGTCCTTTCATTTTATAAAACATTCTATTTCTTAAACTAATGCTTACATTTTTATTAAGTACAGTTTGTCATTCTATAATGTACTGTGCTTTTGGTGCCATGTCTAGAAAGTCTCTGCTTGATCTCAGGTAATGAACATTATTTCCTATATTTTTTCTTAAGTTTTTAAAATGGACAGTTTTAGATATATGAGAATCTAGGTATATGATACATTTTGAGATAGTTTTGGGGTTGTTTTGTAAGGTATGAGGTTAAGATTGAAGTTTAATTAGTTTATAATAATCCTAAAAATGCACTGAAACATCTCTTATTTAATCTAAGATAGTTCTCATTTAATTCTTGGAAATTTGTTCTCATTTTATCAAATAACTTATTTCTTGGTCTTATTTTTTCTCTACTTCTGATACCTCCTGTTATCCAGAGGTTGGCACCTGTATCTATGTATTCCATTTACCTTTGTTATTCTTTTACATTGTTGTCTCCTTATCTTTAAGCTCTGCCTTTGAGAGTCCTCCAGTACTATCTCCTAGCTCACTAACTTTTTGCTTCAGCCATCTACCTTTTATTCATTCCTTTAAACATGTTCTTTCTTAAAACAGTTATATGTTTCGAATTTAACATTTTGCCAAATTCTTTTTTTATCTTGTTCTTTTTCCACGATACTAGTGGTCTCTTGCCTCTTTGAGATTTTCATTTTTCTTTTCATCATGGTTTTATCTCCATTGTTTACTTTTTATTTTCAGTGACCCTTTCAGCATGTGGATTACAGTGCTTTTCTCATAGCAATCAATATATAATTATTATTTTATATTGCTTTCATTTTCCTACAAATTTCCTGGTAAACTTCCACCATGATTCAGATTTCAATGAAAATTCATTTCTTTAAAGAAACTTTTCTTGCCATCCTTTGTGATATGGCTTCTCTTAAGTCATTTTCTGTTGTATTAATATCATTGTGTTCTATTTTTATTACTGCACATACCACTATTAAAAGTTGTTATTTCTTATTGTTTGTTTTCTGTCTCTAATAAAATTTAAGCAGTGGTTTGGTAACTATTTAAGTTTATCTAATGTAATGTGCATTGCTTTTAAAATGTATGCATATTTCTTGAAGTATTATTTCTTGAAATTTACCAAAAAGGTAGTGGAGGTATTTCATCACCAAATAGATAAATTTAAGAACAGACTTAATGAAGCAATTTCAGATCTTAGCAATAAATTTGAAGTTTATATTTTATCCTTCTTTTTTTTAGGAATGCAGTCAAAGAACACAGAAAACTTTACACCATTTATGAAACCAGGTGAGTCCATGATATCTTCAATTTATTTATTAAATGCTTCTACATTTCACCAATGATATAAGCATTAATAATCACTGAATTTATGCTATGATTTATCTTGCTGTATGTATTTTGTGTTTGAAACCCAAAATTATTATAAAGCATGCACTAAAACTAAAAAACAACAAGAATAATAATTAAATGCCACCGTAATTTACCTTATGTAATTGTGCTATAATTTTAAATAAAATTTTCTTTGAATTCTAATAAGGTTTCTGGCCTTCTAGGGATTTTGGCACTAAGTGCATCCAAGTTTAAAATAGAGTGCTTAAACACTGGAAGGAACTTCAAACATCATCATATTGCATATTTTGAAAGGTGGCTCCAATAGATTAGAGTTGCCTAAGATCACACAGTGATTCAGAAGCACAGTTAGGAAAATAAAACGTATTGCTTACTTTCATCATCATGCTTTTAGATTGCTCCACATTGCCTGGGGAAAATAATCCCTAACACTTTTATGAAAATAGAAGCGTGCTCCTCAGGCTGATACCCTCTTGGAAAGAAATGGGCTCTAACAATGGAATTTTCCAGAAAATCTTTTGAAGACAGATTCATATCACTGTATGGCAAAAACCACTACAATATTGTAAAGTAATTCAGTCAGTTCAGTTCAGTTCAGTCGCTCAGTGGTGTCCGACTCTTTGCAACCCCATGAATTGCAGCACACCAGACCTCCCTGTCCATCACCAACTCCCGGAGTTGACTCAGACTCATGCCCATCGAGTCAGTGATGCCATCCAGCCATCTCATCCTCTGTCGTCCCCTCCTCCCCCTGCTCCCAATCCCTCCCAGCATCAGGGTCTTTCAAAATGAGTAGTTAGCCTGCAACTAATAAAAATAAGTGGAAATAAATAAATAAATAAATTGGTATTTTAAAAAAAAGACAGATAATTAATGGTACCTAATAAGAAAGCCTTTCTCAGTGATCAGTGCAAAGAAATAGAGGAAAACAATAGAATGGGAAAGACTAGAGATCTCTTCAAGAAAATTAGACATCCCAAGGGAACATTTCATGCAAAGATGGGCTCAATGAGGACAGAAACAGTATGGACCTAACAAGCAGAAGACATTAAGAAGAAGTGGCAAGAATACACAGAAGAACTAAACAAAAAAGATCTTAATGACCCAGAAAACCATAATGCTGTGATCACTCACCTAGAGCCAGACATCCTAGAGTCCAAAGTCAATTGGGCCTTCGGAAGCATCACTATGAACAAAGCTAGTGGAGGTGATGGAATTCCAGCTGAGCTATTTCAAATCCTACAAGATGATGCTGTGAAAGTGCTGCACTCAATATGCCAGCAAATTTGGAAAACTCAGTAGTGGCCACAGGACTGGAAAAGGTCAGTTTAATTCCAATCACAAAGGAAGGCAATGTCAAAGAATGTTCAAACTACCACACAAATGTACTCATCTCACATGCTAGCGAAGTAATGCTCAAAATTCTTCAAGCCAGGCTTCAACAGTATGTGAACTAAGAACTTTCATATATTCAAGCTAGATTCAAAAAAGGCAGAGGAACCAGTGATCAAGTTGCAAACATCTGATGGATCATCAAAAAAGCAGGAGAGTTCCAGAGAAAATATCTACTTCTGCTTTATTGACTACACCAAAGCCTTTGACTGTGTGGATCACAATAAACTATGGAAAATTCTTCAAGAGATGGTAATACCAGACCACCTGACCTGCCTCCTGAGAAATCTATATTCAGGTCAAGAAGCTTAGAACTGGACATGGAAAAACAGGCCGGTTCCAAACTGGGAAAGGAGTACATCAAGGCTGTATACTATCACCCTGCTTATTTAACTTAAATGCAGAGTACATCATGTGAAATGCCTAGCTGGATGAAGCACAAGTTGGAATCAAGACTGCTGGGAGAAATATCAATAAACTCAGATAATAAATGGGAAAAAAAATAAGCTCAGATATGAGATCACAGCATCCTTATGGCAGAAAGCAAAGAGGAACTAAAGAGCCTCTTGATGAAGGTGAAAGAGGACAGTGAAAAAGCTGACTTGAAACTCAACATTCAAAAAACAAAGATCATGGCATCTGGTCCCATCACTTTGTGGCAAATAGATGAGGAAACAATGGAAACAGGAAGATACTTTATTTCCTTGGGCACCAAAATCACTGCAGATGGTGACTGCAGCCACAAAATCAAAAGTCACTTGTTCCTTGGAAGAACAGCTATGACAAATTAGACAGCATATTAAAAAACAGAGGCATTACTTTGCCAACAAAGGTTCATCTAGTCAAAGCTATGGTTTTTCCAGTAGTCATGTATGGATGTGACAGTTGGACTATAAAGAAAGCTGAGCACCAATGAATTGATGCTTTTGAACTGTGGTATTGGAGAAGACTCTTGAGAGTCCCTTGGACTGCCAGGAGATCCAACCAGTCAATCCTAAAGGAAAGCAGTCTTGAATATTCACTGGAAGGACTGATGCTGAAGATGAAACTCCAATACTTTGGCCACCTGATATGAAGAGCTGACTCATTAGAAAAGACCCTGATGCTGGGAAAGATTGAAGGCAGGAGGAGAAGGGGACAACATAGGATGAGATGGTTGGATGGCATCACTGACTCAGTGGATATGAGTTTGAGCAAGTTCTGGGAATTGATGATGGACAGGGAAGCCTGGGGTGCTGCAGTCCATGGAGTCGCAAAGAGTTGGACACGACTGAGCCATTGAACTGAACTGAACTGAATCATCTGATGCATTCTTGTTTATCTTTAAAAATTCAACTATAACATAACTTCTCAGTTAAAACTTCTTTTTTTAAATCAACCACCTCCAACTTCCAAACTTAATCAGCAATCCAGACAATGTTCTTCCTCTGGGCCTACTGTTTGTTAATGGGTAAAGCTTTTCTGAGCTTAGAACATGCCTGGCAATGAAGGACACATAAGAGATGTGGGTTTGATCCCTGAGTTGAAAAGATCCCCTGGAGGAGAGCATGGCCACCCACTTCAGTATTGCCTGGAGAATCCCATAAACAGAGGAGCCTGGAGGGCTACGGTACATAGGGTCACAAAAAATAGGCCAAGACTGAAGCAACTTAGCACATACACAAAACTTTTCTGCATAAGAGACTAATGAATTCTTCCTTCCTTCCTTCTTTCCTTCCTTCCTTCCTTCCTTCTTCTGTCCTTCCTGCAGGTGTCCTTGGCCTGCAGCAGCTTAAAGCAGGGTTTCTGTTCCCAGCTAGAGACTGAGGTTGGGCTGCAGCAGTTGTGAGCACTGAATCCTGGCTATTAAACTAGTGGCCAGTGACAAGGCCCTGGTCTTTTGGCTTTGCAGAAAACAGCTCCCACAAAGATGGAAAAGTCCTGAAACATGTAAAGAAGGAAAAAGAGTATGTGTGGATAGACACACAGGCAGACTGTGAGATTTGTGCCCACATAGTGGTTTAAATTGCTTACATGGGACATTGCTTCTGGGTTTCCTTTGGCCAATCATTTTGATTTGCCTGGTTCTGAGTCTGTATTTGGTTTATCTTAGGGTCCTCCTGTGGGTGCATGTGTATCTCTTAGCCAAGATGGATTCCAGTGAAGAATCCTATGGTTTGCTAGACTTCACTCCCCTTTTGACCTCCAAGGAACTTTTTAGCTGAGAAGGTCTCTTTGACTTTGAGACTGAGAAATCTATGGTATCTTATCTTTTTATCTGGGCAGGGCTCAGCCTCTCCTATCTTGGAGTATCAGGCCACAGGGAATGAACTCGCTTCTTGGTCTGGGGTCCATCTATCTCCTGCCTCACCTTCATATACCCGTATTCTGAGTAGTGTCATTTGAACTACAATAGTTGTTCAATAATTTTGGTGTGTGTGTGTGTGTTACTCGCTCAGTCGTGTCTGACTCTTTGTGACCCCACGACCCTGCCAGGCTTCTCTGTCCATGGAATTCTCCAGGCAAGAATATTGGAGTGGATTGCCATTCCCTTCTCCAGAGGATATTCCTGACAAAGGGATTGAACCCTGGTCTCCTGCATTGCAGGCCGATACTCTACCATTTGAGTTACATTTGGTAGAAGTAATAATTTATTATTAAACATCATTTCAATTTATTATTTATCATGTACATATAATTTTGTTTACTCATTCAAATGTTTTCTTAAGACAAATTCTTAAAAGCAGAATTGCACAATGAAAGAGTAGGTGCATTTAAAACTTTAATTTTTTGTATAAGTCTGTACAGAAGTTTGATAAATTGTAAGTATAGAGCTTAAGTAAACACATTCACAAGTAAAGTAACCACTGATCAGATTGGGAAACAGAATGTCAGAGTCATTAATCTGTACACTTGTAGCTAACATATCTGTATTCTTCCTCTTCATCAGTTCAGTTCAGTCGCTCAGTCGTGTCCAACTCGTCGCAATCCCATGAACTGCAGCACACCAGGCCTCCCTGTCCATCACCAACTCCCAGAGTTCACCCAAACCCATGTCCATTGAGTCAGTGATGCCATCCAACTGTCTCATCCTCTGTTGTCCCCTTCTCCTCCTGCCCTCAATCTTTCCCAGCATCAGGGTCTTTTCCAATGAGTCAGCTCTTCTCATCAGGTGGCCAAAGTATTGGAGATTCAGCTTCAACATCAGTCCTTCCAATGAATATTCAGGACTGATTTCCTTTAGGGGGCACTGGTTGAATCTTCTTGCAGTCCAAGAGACTCTCAAGAGTTTCTCCAACACCATAGTTCAAACACATCAATTCTTCTGCGCTCAGCTTTCTTTATAGTTCAACTCTCACGTCCATACATGACCACTAGAAAAACTATAGCCTTGACTAGATGGACCTTTGTTGACAAAGTAATGTCTCTGCTTTTCAATATGTTGTCTAGGTATGGGTTAATTGCCATGCTAATATGGTGGCTTCATTTTTAGGCAGTTAATTTACCGGCAGGCGGGGTACAAAAGTGACTAGGCAACAACCATAGCTTTATGTTTAATGAAGTTT